CTGAAGCAGTTGTGGGCCTGTAACTAGGTACATACTGACTACGTGCCATCATTTACTTTTTAACACCATTTCCGGGAGGGAAAATATGACTGCGCCTTTTCCAATCTCGCCTCGTTACCTGTCATCGCGGGTTGTTATCCAGGCCCAATTTCGAGCTTTGCTTTGAGTTGTAAGACCAGCTCATTATCACCACCAGCCTTTGCTTTTCACATAGCGTTCGTATCCTTCTTATCCTCGTTGCCTAAAGCTACCAACCTCATACTGGATACTGCTCCCCTCATCATCATCCTCACACTCAGCATCGCACGGGAAAATGTCACTGTAGGGTGTCATTTGAAGTGTGTCGCCATCGGGCAATCATCATAAGTTCTCACATGCTCGGAACTTTGCAAGTCAGGAATATCGCCGGTTCTCGGCCGATTCATATGTCCTCTTCCATTCCTTCCACTGCAGTACGACAGAAACGTGGCCCCGACGGAGAACCAGACAAGAAAATCTCTCAACTGTTGCCCTCACTCCGACTTGGCTGCGCCGCTCGGCGTGCAAGTTGTTCGGCTATGGTGAGACCGCGTTACATACCTACATAGCCACATGGGTCGAGGGACCAGGATGCACAGTACACTACACTCGTATGGAGTCCATGGTGGAGCTACATAACGAACTTGGCTGAGCGTTTCGCCAAGATTTGGTACACTACACTAGAACTACGCAGTAGTATCATCGTGAACCAAGATGGGTCCCCTTTCGAAGAAGACGATGATGCTGAATAGATGAAGGAGTATGTCGCACACTAAGAGACGTGCTTATGGTAATACCATAATTCGCTATGATGGTGAATAATATTTAAACTATTCGATGGACATAAATGGGGATATTTACATATGTTGATCATCCCGCTTAGAATGCAAAGAAAAAGACGTTCCAGAACGGGATTCTCCAATTCAACCAGTCGCGCCGATGAACATTGATAACACTTTACCCACCCACGCTACTCCAGCCTACCACCCCTTCCAAGAACCAAAAGAAATTGATGATAAAAGGAATAATAGGATAAAAGCGAACAACAGTGTAAACGAACACATTGATCACAATAAACTGCCCACATCCACACTACTCTTTCCTACTGATGATCCTCAGAATGGCGGATTCTCGGCAAAGTACCTAACCGCCAAATACCTAGGATCAAACGTCAACTCCTGCTTCATTGCCACATCCAACAACCAATCCGACACCACAATCCTCGGTTCCATGTTCCCCTTCTTCGCCATCTCCTCAAACTTGGGCCACAGCGCCTTCTCAGCCGGGCTGGGAGACGTCAGCAAATAAACTGGATCAGGCGGTGCCCCTCCATCTTCCTCGGGCGTAGTGGGCTTGATCACCGACCCACCGCGACCACGGAAAACCCTGAAGATGGCGCCGTTGGCCTCGGCAATGGTCTGGTAGCTCTGGACTCCATTCTTGATCTCCTCTGTGCAGAAGATGGGCACGCCCCAGAGAAGACGGCCGCGATTGGCGCGGGCGCGAGAGATGGCTGTCTGGAGGGTGACGCCAAAACGGTCTTCGCTTTCCTTGTCGACAAGCAGGTAGTCCTTGGGGGGCAAAACCTTGCCGGCTTCGACGCAGGCGGTGACATAGTCGGACGAGATGATCTCGGGGCCGCGAGCCAGACAACGGAGAAACTTCATAGTTCTAACCATACGCGGTGCGGCGAGGTAGTCGCAGGGAACATTGTCTTGGACGATCTGTATGCCCATGGAGCGCAGTTTTCGCTGGTGAAAAGGTTAGTTTGGCAATGTAATGCACGTATCAGGCTAAAGTGATCACTCACCCTGTCCGCCTCCTCTCGAATCTTGTCGTTTACCCATCTCTTGTAGCCGGTCAAGCAGATGCGCATCTCTGGGCTTGACGAGACCCTCGCCTTCTTGGCCGGACGCTTCTGTTCTGTCTCGTCCTCCTCGCCCCCGTCTTCGGCTGGACTTGACTCCTTTGCGGCCCGATCCCGGTCAATCTGGTCTGCTGCCCGCTTGCCGCCCCATGGACCATCCTTCGCTGTGCGCTTCTTTTCCTTCTCATACAGAGCGATATCTGGAGCCAGTTGGTGGAGCTTGGACAACGCCTTATCTTTGGCGCTCCGGCTACCGCTGGACATTACTGATGGTGTGTCATTTTCCTTTCCACGTGTAGTCCGGGTGGTCTTTGCTGGCGTTTGGATATTTTGCTTATTCTGCGTCCCTCGTGGTGGCTTACTGGCTGTCTTTCCACCAAGTGGACTCGATTTACTCGCGGTTCCGGCGTCGGTCTCTGCAAAATTGGAGGTATACACGTTCTTGTTCGCAGCGTCATTAGCCTTGCGCCTTTTCTTCGCTGCCGTGCTGAGTACTTCTTCGCCACCGGGGAAATACACCTCGCGCAGCCTCTGTTCGTCGAAAAAGGTGCTGCCAATGATCTCGCCTAGATTTGTCCTAGGCGGGAAGTGTTGGTACCTGGGGTTAGAAAAGGTCTGGACTTCGCACTTGGCGTAGCTGTCTTCTATCCAAAGATGGTTGATAATCTCAATGTTCCATTCCTTGGCTGCCTCACACTTCTCACCATTCATCCGAGCCGTGATCAGGTGGGTATTGTCGGCCTTCATGGTCTTGGTGTATGTTGCGCCCGCCGCAGTAATGAGATTTTCGAGGTAGACTCTAGCGTCACCCCCATAGTTTGATAGTGTGATCTTCATGCCCGTGAATCCAGGAATCCCGTCTCGTGGTATCGGGTAGTGCAGAAGTCGTCGTGTCGGCCTCGTCCATTCATTATGTACGATGAGGTAGTAGAGCCACGCAAGGTTGCCCACGTCTTTCCCTTGCTGTGCCGCCCGTATATACTCATCCCCGTCGCGATACTGACACACATACATATCGCATGCATCAACATCATTCACGACCTCGCCGTCGCTTTGCTCGATCAGATTGTTCAAGATGTTCCGCAGCCGGGCGTTGATAGGGAGATCTTGAGATATCATGACCTTCTTCTGAGCGAAGACGACAATCTTTTCCCTCTCCCTCCCCGGCATTGCAGCACTAGGTATAACGGACGTGGCACCTTCCACGGCCTCGCTCGGTGGGATTGTGATGTCTTCGTCGGGCCCTGTGCGCAAGATCTCGGGGTCAGGGAGCATATAGGGTGCCTCGCTGATTCGCCTCCCTAGCCTTAAGCAGTCATCGAACCAGTGTGGAAGGACAATCTTGCACTTGGGGTTCTTTTTCTGGGCCTCCTGGCATTTTTCGTGGTCCATGGACAGGGCGCAAATATGGGTGGTTTGACGCGTCAGGTCCTTTGATTCCATGCCACCAAGCGCCATGGTCGCACCAATAATGGTCTCCTTGTCGGACTCGGGAATATCGGCACAGGTGAGGATGACGTTGGAGAAGATCATTCTAGGATCGGGGGAGTACGGCCTCACTTGGGCGACCTTATTCCGTGCGAGCGTGATTTTGATCCAGTTGGAGTTGACGACGGGGATCATGTATTGGAGGGCATCGTGGTATTGCTCGAAGTCGATCGTGTTCGAGACAATATGGGTCGCGTGTTCCAGAGGAATTTTGCCGTCTTTGGTTGGCTCGAGAAGTTGGGCGCCATGCTTGTGTACAAGCTTGGAAAACTACAAATTGCCGAGGTGTTTAGGAGGTTGTGGACCGCGCATCAGGTAGAGTAAAGGGAAGACATACTTCTGAGATGAGACTAGCCGACAGTGACTTGCTTTGCACAAAGTAGATGGAGCAGCCATCGAGCAGACCCGGCTTCTCGTTTTCTCCGGCCATTTTGGCGATGTAAACGCGGTTTCGCTGGATTGATGATACAGTGGAGGTTCTACAGGAAGCGTCGAAGCGCCGAGTCTTGAGTCGAGTCTGTGTATTCGAGTTCCATGGGCGATTTGTGGCCAGAAGTGAGGGTGGTGGTTTGCAAAAGCGACAGGGACAGATGCAACTTGGCGATGCACCAGCGGTTGAGTGTTGATTGGAAGAACGTTCAACGGTCTTTTTGTTTGTCTCGTCCATGCCACTGGCAAATTGGAGCCACTGCAGGCGACGCGATCGGAAAAAGCCAGGGTGGGGCCATGACGCGAACTAGGCACGCTGTATCACATGACCGTGTAATTACCCTGTTGCTGCAGTTTGATGGATTGCCGTATCTTATCAAATTCGTTGTGTACAATAAGTACCTCTAGTGTACACCTCTGCCGGGGCAAAAAAGGTTAAATTTCGTGACTTCTGGGGGTGGCAATGGCTTATTGGTAATGGGCGGCAAAGCCGGAGCTGCTATAGCTTTCTGAACAATAAACAGCCCGTTTTTTTAAATGATAATCCTAGTAAACTGTAGCCCCCAGGTACCACGCTAACCTTTTTTCCCCCGGCAGAGGTGTACTTGCATCTCCCCGCTTTCCATGTTGGTGTTCGGTAGTATTGATGTTGTGACACTCTCGACAACTTCGACAAGCCACGAACTACACTAGCAAAAAACACCGAAAAGTTACCACAGTGGAACTTCGGCGAATCCGGAAAAGGGGAGATTGGTTGATCACTTTTTATCTATTTCAGACTAGCCTTTTTTTTTTTTCGATCACTGTCTTATGGCCGTGCCTGGTACGTACCCGACTTACACGTCGACTACCATAACTAGAGGTGTAGTATAAGTTCTGGTATGATGGATTGCCGATCACCGCTGCAACCAAGAAGAGCGTTGGTACAACGCCAAGCACTACTGGCGAGCGATAGTCACATATGTAGTGTCTTCGTTATCCATTCAGAGATGGTTCTCAATTATATTAAACAACGGGTTATTCAAAATTGGTACTGTAGGGTATCACACAATGGAACCCGGAGGTCGATTTCCGGGCTAGTTGCAGTCGCTACCACAACAGCCGGCGCCACGATGGCTTTGTGCCTCGGCAACCTGGCCCGTAACAGTCGGCTCAGTAATCCTTGAACAACCCCACGATCGACAACCCCGGAGATTTAGTCAACACTTTCCTTGTTTGATCTCTCTGTGAACCCCGTTTGATCGTACTACCGGAATCTCCTTAGTCCGACTCGTCAGTTTCGGCATCATACCAGAGTTATTGTTCTACTTCACATATCAGCTTGACTCAAGCACCAGCGGTTATCAGAGCAGGCAGTAAATTCATAGCTGGTATACCGCCACAATGGCCTCCTCTTTCATCATCAAGGAGCACAAAGTCGAAGGTCAACACATCCGTGAGTATGCCCGAGCTACTGCCGACTCCCAAGAAGAGGTCCTGTATCTCTCCGTAAAGCAATACATTCCCAAGAGCAACCCCAATCCTCAACCGGGCGACCTGACCATCATCGGTGCTCATGCCAATGGCTTTGTCAAGGTCAGTTACTCTCACTAACAAGAGCTACACCCAAGTTTGTGTTTGGCATTCACTAATTCCACTCTATAGGAACTTTACGAGCCCCTCTGGGAAGACCTGCTCAAGGCCCTCTCCGCCCGCGGCATCAGAGTCCGCTCCATCTTCATCGCCGACGCCGCCTGGCAAGGCCAATCCGGACTTATCAACGAGTCCAGTCTAGGCAACGACCCATCCTGGTATGACCACGCGCGTGACCTCCTCTGCGTCGTCAATGCTTTGCGCCGTGAGATGCCGCGTCCGCTAGTCGGAATCGGCCACTCCTTTGGCGGCAACACCATTGCCTCTTTGTCGCTGTTGCACCCTCGCCTCTTTTCTTCTCTGGTTCTGCTTGACCCGGTCATCTCCAAATTTGCTAAGCGCGGTCCCTCCTACGGCTTCATGCCTATGAAGCAGTCGGCCTATCGGCGGGACGTCTGGCCTTCGCGACAGGCGGCCGCTGAGGGGTTCCGGAAGAACAAATTCTATCAGACTTGGGACCCGAGATGTCTAGAGGTGTTGATCAGCCATGGTCTGCACCAGGTTTCTCCAGAAAAGGAGGAAGTGACGCTCACGACGTCCAAACATCAAGAGTGCTTCACCTATTACCGCCCTAAGAAACAAGATCAACCGGTGCCGGACTTGCCCCCGGATCAGGCTGTTGATCCCAACTTTCAGTTTTATCGCGCCGAGGCCATGATGACTACCCACTTTTTGCCGCACCTGCGCCCCGGTGTACTTTGGGTGTTTGGATCTACGTCTGACGTCTGTCCTCCCGAGAGTCGCGAGGAGAAGCTGGAGCTTACGGGCACGGGGTGGAACGGTAGTGGCGGAGCGAAGGCGGGCAGGGTGGAGGTACGCACCGTGGAAGGGTTCGGACATTTGGTGCCGATGGAGGCGACCACCAGGTGTGCCGAGGAGGCGGCTGAGTTCATTGCTAAGGATTTGGAGAAGGTGTGGAGGAAGGAGGATGAGGAGTTCAGGAAGGTTTGGAAGTATAAGGAGGGGACGGAGAAGAGGGTGCTCAGTAAGGATTTTTTGGAGTTGATGGGACCGCCGCCGGGGAGGAAGAAGACAGGGAAGGAGGAGGCGAAGTTGTGAGCTGTGAAATGGGGTGCCTTGTATTCTTTTCGTCAGTGGTTGTGCGTTAGCCAAGGTTTTTCAATTTTCAGCGAGCTTCTTCGCTATCTGCCTTCTACAATCTGCATCTTCCTGCGCCATCTTAGTGACGGCTGTGAGCATCTGCGATGATTGGTATCATATCGGTCATTCCAGTGTAACGATCCGCCAATCTTCCGCCAATTTTATCATTATCATTATCATTGTTATCATCCTTTTTTAGCGCCTTCCACACACACCTTTTCTACCTATCCAGGGGAGAGAGATACCCTGAACTTGCTTCGTCCACTGATACAGGTCTCGCTGTTTATCACAGGACTAACATGCCTATATAGTGTTCACTTCCGAGTTGCGAGTTCTGCTGGCAGGCCGGAACTCGTCCCATCTTTTGTGGATTTGGCCCATCTGGTCATTGTGCACACCAGGCCTGTGGTACTGTCCGTCGTTTCAGTAATGATGCTATGTGGCAGCGGAAAGATGACCCTCTATGTATCGCATGCGCTCTATGTGCTGCGAGATTGTATGAAATGATGATGATGGAGAGTGGGCTTCAGCTGTCGTTGTACGGTGGTGATATTGCTTAAGGCATCGACAGCCCTCACGGAACTCGATAGGAACAGACTGTGCCTGGTCCGAAAATCCGGTTGTGGAATTCTTCTCAGTAACCATGCCGCAGACGGCACAATACGTGAGTTCCACGTTTACGCCACAGTGAAGGTGTATGCAAGCTCTCTTAAAAGATGGAACTCCACATGTCGAAATTAAGTTGTATGAACCGCCGCCCTGGTCATGCAATACCAACTGAACCGCCAACAGTGACGCCTAGTCAAGATCCCGCTGGCGGCGATCCTGAACTGTCTCTGTTTGGCGCACTTTGGCTTGCTCCGACTCTCGCTGAAAGCTCTTCTCAACATTCCTGAGGTCTTGCAAGTGCTGCTGCTTGCGTAACTCGTCTGGATAGCAAGTTAGCGTCATCCAGTCAAACAAGGTCACGCGCTCCGAATCGGGCACCGGGAATGGTGGTGGTGAGTATGGTGGAAGATCTTTGAGCTTGAGCGGACCTTGGGCGACTAGTTCTAACGAGCGTGCGATTGCTTCGGTCAATTTTCTGGGTGAATGGGTGTCAGCTGTCTAGCCATGAACATTGGGGTTACGATTGAGAGGACAAATGATCAATGGGCGAGAAACCTACCCTAGCCTACCATACACAGCGTCTCCTGTAGACTCCAACTCTTGAGCAAGCTCAGCTTGGTGGTTGTCCATCAGAGTTGGGTTGGGGACCACCACCAATGGTACCTGAAGTCGGAGTACTTCAAGAATTGTTCCAGAGCCTAACTGTTTAGTTATTTAATGCTGTCAATCAAACAGATGATGACAAAGGGGACAATCTCACCGGCGTGAGCAACCACTACACCTGGCATTCTCACGGACTTCTCGCCCCGTGACCTGATATAATGTTTGGTCATGTTCTCTGTAAAGGCAAAGCGTTCTATCGTGACAGGACTAGACGGCAAAGATTTGACTTGTTCATCGAACCACTCAAAATCCTCGCCGCATTGTACTTTGAGAAGGTCAAAATGGCTGTCGGCCAGACAGTTGAGGAACTCTGGTTTGATGACCTCTGAAAGCAACGGCCGAAATCCGGCGGTAGCTCCCACTGTAACGAAGCATTGCCGGCCTTCCATGCTGGTTTCCTCGATCAAAGTCATGTTATTATCACTGCGGTTGCTGCTCGTCTGCTCTTCGCCGAGCTTTGGGCGTTTGGCTTCGCCTTCTCCTTTGCTTTCCTTGCGAATTTCCAGACCCTCACCAGAAATTGTAGAAGATTCCCGAGAGCTGACTGTTGTGATTGCGCTGGCGTCCCGTTTCTGTCCAGCAATCTGTTGCGTGTCTGTTGCCTCAGTGTCGGTGGTATGCTTTGTTGTCGTCAAGTGATCCATCTCGTCCGTGGTGCGTAGGTCAGTAAGGTGTCGTCTAGGTAGATATTCGTGAACCAAGAGGGCAGTCCCAAATGACACTTGATATCCAATAAAAGCGCGTGAGAATGATAGATCTTGTTGGGTATGTGTGTTTGAGTAAATGAAGGGATGTGAAGTATGCAGCGTGAGGTTAATGCTGAATGTTGAATCGAACAAGGAGGTGCGGTAAGGGTACCTGATCACGGTACCTGTGAGGGAGGTACCTGAAGCTAGACCAAACACTTATTGCTGGTGGGTCGCGGCGGAGAAGGTACTTGTAGCGAGGTCTCTTGAGATTGGGGAAGCTACAGTTGTTAAACTGTGGCGGGGTACCTCTCTTCAGCGCTGTCTTTCTGTGGCTTACGCTCTCCTCCGGACCCCTCCGGCTATGCTGCCCGCCCGCAATTGAGGCTGAGCCCAAATTTTTTGGATAGCTCTGGGCGCGATTGCGAGAAGCCCGGCGCCCGAGCGCCCGTGTCTCCGTCCCGAGTTGTTGCTCGGTCGCCCTCTGCTATCGAGCCCCGATCCCGACTCCCCTCGCGCGCCAGATTCCCACACACCAAGCTGCGTCACGGTCGCCCCTCCTCCGTCCGAACACCACAAACGACGACCCCCCGGGATGGCTTCCTCCGCCAATGCGCTCCGGCTCGGTCTCCGGACATGCAGTCGCCAAACACAAACATCCAATCTCCGCATCGCCGCCATCCAGCGCCGGGCCCTCTCCGCCACTGCGACACGATGTGAAGGCGTCCCCGTACCAAAGAGGGAAGATGACGCCAAGCTCGAATTCACCCGCCCCTACAACCCCGGCGAATTTCTGTCCGAAAAGCTGAGGTCGGACGACCTTCAGGACTGGGAGCGCGAGCGCTACGAGCGCGCCCTCACCTCGTGGGAACAGACGCCCGACGATCTCAAGAGGGGGTGGTCGAGCATGATCAGAGACATTGAGCAGGCGGCGGCGCCGCTAAGAAGGGTGGTCATGCCCAGGAGATCCACTTTCTGGTACGAGGAGGAGAAGGACACGGATCTCATCACCAACGAGGACGGCGAAGACGACTTCCACGAGAACGACATTATGAGTTTGGGTCACGGCAAGCTGGAGGAGCACCGAGAGTTCCGCGAGTATGCGCGCATCGCCGTCTGGGAGATGCCGCTGCTGTCCAAGTACGCCAAGCCGTTCGTGCCGCCGACGAGCGAGGAGGTCTTGCGCTTCCGCTACACCACATACATGGGCGAATTCCACCCCGCCGACAGGAAGGTCGTGGTTGAGTTCTGCCCCAAGGATCTCCGAGACCTTAGCGAGGTCCAGCAGCGCAAGCTTATGAAGCTGGCCGGACCCCGTTACAACCCCGAAAAGGATATTATCAAGATGAGCTGCGAGAAGTTTGAGCACCAGGCCCAGAACAAGCGCTATCTTGGCGATTTGATTGAGAAGATGATTGTTGCTGCCAAGGTACTGTTTGCATTTCCGCCC